GAGAGAGAGACAGGTGAGAGACAGACAGGTGAGAGAGAGACAGGTGAGAGGGAGACAGGTGAGAGAGAGACAGGTGAGAGGGAGACAGGTGAGAGAGACACAGGTGAGAGAGAGACAGGTGAGAGGGAGACAGGTGAGAGAGAGACAGGTGAGAGGGAGACAGGTGAGAGAAGAGGTGAGAGGGAGACAGGTGAGAGACACAGGTGAGAGAGACAGGTGAGAGGAGACAGAGAGAGAGACAGGTGAGAGAGAGAGGTGAGAGAGACAGGTGTGAGAGACAGGTGAGAGGGGAGACAGGTGAGAGAGAGACAGGTGAGAGGGAGACAGGTGAGAGGGAGAGACAGGTGAGAGGGAGACAGGTGAGAGAGAGACAGGTGAGAGAGACAGGTGTGAGAGACAGGTGAGAGACAGACAGGTGAGAGGGAGAGACAGGTGAGAGGGACAGGTGAGAGAGAGACAGGTGAGAGAGACAGGTGTGAGAGACAGGTGAGAGAGAGACAGGTGAGAGACAAACAGGAGAGAGAGACAGGTGAGAGGCAGACAGGTGAGAGAGAGACAGGTGAGAGGGAGACAGGTGAGAGGAAGAGACAGGTGAGAGGGAGACAGGTGAGAGAGAGAGACAGGTGTGAGAGACAGGAGGAGAGACAGACAGGTGAGAGAGAGACAGGTGAGAGGGAGACAGGTGAGAGAGAGACAGGTGAGAGGAGACAGGTGAGAAACAGACAGGTGAGAGAGAGACAGGTGAGAGAGAGAGACAGGTGAGAGAGAGACAGGTGAGAAACAGACAGGAGAGAGAGAGACAGGTGAGAGAGAGACAGGTGTGAGAGACAGGTGAGAGGCAGACAGGTGAGAGAGAGACAGGTGAGAAACAGACAGGGAGAGAGACAGGTGAGAGAGAGACAGGTGAGAGAGAGACAGGTGAGAGAGACAGGTGTGAGAGACAGGTGAGAAACAGACAGGAGAGAGAGAGACAGGTGAGAGAGAGAGAAGAGAGACAGGGTGAGAGGGAGACAGGTGAGAGAGAGACAGGTGAGAGAGGAGGACAGGTGAGAGAGGAGACAGGTGAGAGGGAGACAGGTGAGAGGGAGACAGGTGAGAGACAAACAGGAGAGAGAGACAGGTGAGAGGCAGACAGGTGAGAGAGAGACAGGTGAGAGGGAGACAGGTGAGAGGGAGACAGGGTGAGAGACAGACAGGTGAGAGAGAGACAGGTGAGAGGGAGACAGGTGGAGAGACAGACAGGTGAGAAAGAGACAGGTGAGAGAGAGACAGGTGAGAGAGATAGGTGAGAGGGAGACAGGTGAGAGACAGACAGGTGAGAGAGAGACAGGTGAGAAAACAGACAGGTGAGAGGAGAGACAGGTGAGAGGAGAGACAGGAGAGAGGAGAGACAGGTGAGAGGAGAGACAGGTGAGAGACAAACAGGAGAGAGAGACAGGTGAGAGGAGAGACAGGTGAGAGAGAGACAGGTGAGAGGGAGACAGGTGAGAGGGAGACAAGTGAGAGGGAGACAAGTGAGAGAGAGACAGGTGAGAGAGAGACAGGTGAGAGGGAGACAGGTGAGAGACAGACAGGTGAGAGAGAGAGACAGGTGAGAGAGAGAGACAGGTGAGAGAGAGACAGGTGAGAGAGACAGGTGAGAGACAGACAGGTGAGAGAGAGACAGGTGAGAAACAGACAGGTGAGAGAGACAGGTGTGAGAGAGACAGGTGAGAGAGACAGGTGTGAGAGACAGGTGAGAGGCAGACAGGTGAGAAACAGACAGGAGAGAGAGAGACAGGTGAGAGAGAGACAGGTGAGAGGGAGACAGGTGAGAGAGAGACAGGTGAGAGACAGACAGGAGAGAGAGAGACAGGTGAGAGAGAGACAGGTGAGAGAGACAGGTGAGAGGACAGACAGGTGAGAGAGAGACAGGTGAGAGACAGACAGGAGAGAGAGAGAGACAGGTGAGAGAGAGACAGGTGAGAGAGACAGGTGAGAGACAGACAGGTGAGAGACAGACAGGTGAGATACAGACAGGTGAGAGAGAGACAGGTGAGAGGGAGACAGGTGAGAGACAGACAGGTGAGAGACAGACAGGTGAGAGAGAGACAGGTGAGAAACAGACAGGAGAGAGAGACAGGTGAGAGAGACAGGTGAGAGGGAGACAGGTGAGAGGGAGACAGGTGAGAGAAGCAGGTGAGAGAGAGACAGGAGAGAGAGAGAGACAGGTGAGAGAGACAGGTGAGAAACAGACAGGTGAGAGAGAGACAGGTGAGAGAGAGACAGGTGAGAAACAGACAGGTGAGAGAGAGACAGGTGAGAGAGAGACAGGTGAGAAACAGACAGGAGAGAGAGAGACAGGTGAGAGAGACAGGTGAGAGACAGACAGGTGAGAGAGAGACAGGTGAGAGACAGACAGGTGAGAGAGAGACAGGTGAGAGACAGACAGGTGAGAAACAGACAGGTGAGAGACAGACAGGTGAGAGACAGACAGGTGAGAGACAGACAGGTGAGAGAGAGACAGGTGAGAAACAGACAGGTGAGAGAGAGACAGGTGAGAGACAGACAGGTGAGAGACAGACAGGTGAGAGGCAGACAGGTAGAGACAGACAGGTGAGAGAGAGACAGGTGAGAGACAGATAGGTCGAGACAGTTTAATGATTTTAATCAGTTTTTTGTGGACCGCTGCTGAGCACAGGTGCATTATGGGATGTGTCTCACCTTGTCCTTCCTCTCTGGCTCTGCCTCCCTGTCTGTCAATGGTCTGTTCTTCGGGTCCCGCCCCCAGCTGACCACCGGACCAATCACAGCCGCTGTGACGGAGAAGCTTGCTGTTAGCCCCGCCTCCTCCTGGTGTGACCCCGCCCCCGAGTTCCTCAGAGCAACGCCCTCTTTCTGCTGCACCCTGATCACCATGGAGACGCAGGGCCGGGGGTCTCCTCTTCTTCTTCTCTTGCCGCCTGACGGCTCCTCCTCTTCCTCTGTGACATCACCGCCTGGCTCCGCCCCCCTCAGGTGAGTCTCCATAGCGATGGACGGGCTCAGGATGTGGAGCTGATCCAGAGAAAACTGCAGGTAAAACCTGAGGGACACGTTAGGGTTGAATACTATTATTAATGTGTGTGTGTGTGTGTGTGTGTGTGTGTGTGTACCTGCAGTGTGTGTGGGTGTGTGTGTGTGTGTGTGTGTGTGTGTGTGTGTGTGGTGTGTACCTGCAGTGTGTGTGGGTGTCAGACCCGGCGTCATGGGCGGGCCCCATGGGGCCGGGCTCGCCCATCCAGGATTTGGGCCCGCTGTTTTAATCAGGGCTGAATACAACATTTTAATTGTTTTATTATTATGTTCAGTGGCGGCTACCTGGGGTAGGCTACAGGGTATACTGGGGTAGGCTACAGGGTATACTGGGGTAGGCTACAGGGTATACTGGGGTAGGCTACAGGGTATACTGGGGTAGGCTACAGGGTATAGTGGGGTAGGCTACAGGGTATACTGGGGTAGGCTACAGGGTATACTGGGGTAGGCTACAGGGTATAGTGGGGTAGGCTACAGGGTATACTGGGGTAGGCTACAGGGTATACTGGGGTAGGCTACAGGGTATACTGGGGTAGGCTACAGGGTATACTGGGGTAGGCTACAGGGTATAGTGGGGTAGGCTACAGGGTATACTGGGGTAGGCTACAGGGTATACTGGGGTAGGCTACAGGGTATACTGGGGTAGGCTACAGGGTATACTGGGGTAGGCTACAGGGTATACTGGGGTAGGCTACAGCCATACCAAGAAATGGCTTAGCCCCACCATGAACAATGATTTTAAAGTAAGCAAAATAAAGTCCGCCAACTCGCGCGGAGTAAATTGCACAGACAAAACTTTTGTCACGTAGTGATCATCTTCTCAATAGAACATCTTAAAGAATCAAGATAACGGCGTGGTGTTGTTGCAGGAAGTCCCGACGGAGAATACTTTTGCTGTAGTCCATCTCTATATACATCGATACAACATTACGTAATGAAATAAGACCCCATGGTTTGATGATTGATAGGTGTGTGTTCTGTCTGTCATTTTGACACACAGAACACTGGGGGCTATCCACCCTTATCCACAATGTAAAGTCATTCACAGCCTCTCCTCTCTCCTCTCCTCTCTCCTCTCTCCTCCCCTCTCTGTGAGGAGCAGCAGGTTCAGCTTTCAGAACAAAGTAACACAAAACTAAAATGGCATTCATTTTTTTAAATATGTCGTGTAGTAATAGATGTATTTACTTCTCTTCTCAAGAGAGTACCAGAATGTGTATTTTATGTTAGTATTTCAAAAGATCTCCTGGGGGAGAATCCCCCCAGACCCCCCTGCAGGGTTTGGGTTGTCAGCAGGTCAACTCTTTCACCTGTGGGGAAGTTGCAGCATTGGCTCCAGGTCGCCCTTTTTATTTATTACAAGACAAATGTGCCTTTTTATTTCATACAGTTCCATTTGGATTGAGACAGAGAAATAATCTAAACCTCACGCGTGGCGTTTCACTGTCAGGGGAGCGTGTATGTATTACATTGCAAATACTGACTTGAGCCCCCCCACTATGGGTTAGCCCTACCAGAGATTACCCAACACAAACACTCTGGAGCCGCCACTGATTATGTTTATTGTTGTTATTTGTAGGGCTTTGTCCTAATATTTATTTTAAACTATGTTGAAAGATTAGTTTAATAGCATTTTTTTATTATTTTGCTATGAAATTCTGAATGAAAGGCTGCGCGCGAGACTGGTTTTTCGTTGGGTTGAGTCGTGTGGGGTCTTGAGTGAGATGCGGCACAGCAGCCTGTCAGTTTACTCTTGCTAGGTTAGTTTGGCTATTATCATTTATATGTATCTGCAACAATGGATATCAGGAAGTGGTTCTTGAAAGGAATATGGCAACTCAGCGCCAGATGCAGCACATTAGAAGACATCAGTTACGTTACCAACGAGCTAGCAAGCCAGCCAGGGACAAGGGAGGCTGGCAATCAATTATATTTTAGAAATAGACTCTCAAGCCGGCTCTCTCACAAACTGCTCTGTGCGCAAGCAGACCGCTGCACACGCTCTCTGCCTCGCTCAATCTCCCTTTCTCTCCATCGCTCAACCTCCCTCCACCTCTCCACCCGGTGTGCGCTCAAGTTTGCCTGCGTGCTTGCCCAAGTTGGCACAGCGTTACAAATGTGCCACAAAACTAACCAATGGATGTAGCCTATACTAAGACCGTCAACAGCCTTATGGCAACCTAACCCCCCCCCCCTTGACAAATCTCGAGATTTCCCGGCCTGCCCTGGTAAATCAAATGCCCGCCCAGAGACGTATGTCTGCCGCCGGGTCTGGTGGGTGTGTACCTGCAGTGTGTGTGGGTGTGTACCTGCAGTGTGTGTGTGGGTGTGTGCCTGCAGTGTGTGTGGGTGTGTACCTGCAGTGTGGGTGTGTGCCTGCAGTGTTTGTGTGTGTGTGTGTGTGTGTGTGTGTGTGTGTGTGTGTGTGTGTGTGTGTGTGTGTGTGTGTGTGTGTGTGTGTGTGTGTGTGTGTGTGGCCTATCATTACTATACTTGTGGGGACCTAAATCTGTTAGGTTTAGGATTAGGTTAGGTTAGGGTTAAGGGTTAGGGTGAGGGAATGCTCCGGCATTGGGACAAAATGAACATGGGATCACTCCGGTCATTGTACGTACTTCGTCTCACTGGAATATTAACGGTCAGATTGAATACAACATCGACCCAATTTCTCCGGTCAATGACGGGAGAGTATTGAAAGTGACAAAACACTGTTTCACACATTTAAAAACACTTAAACAATTAAGCAATGTTTACCCAGGATTCAGGCACCTTCCCTGGCTTGTAAAATGTGGTGATGCGCCCTGGAGGTATCAGACTATTTAAAACATGTATACCCAGGATTCAATCACTTTTCCTGGCTTGCAAAGTGCTGTGAAGCAGCCTGTTCTCTGGGTGCAGTCTGGGTGTGCATGGAGGGGTTTAGTCCGAGTGAGGAGTGCTCAAGTGTGGGAGGATGTGTAAGGCAGAGGAGGGTAAAAAAAAAAAGTTAAAGTGTGAACCTCCAGCAGGGCAGGTGGTGCTGTGAATAAGGCCGAATATTGATGCTGGTGTGCGGACAGTAAAGCACCACAAAATCCACCACCTTTAAGTGTTACCAGGGCCATGAGAACATCCTCCATAAGAGGGTGCGTGGTGCTGTGAATAAGGCCGAATATTGATGCTGGTGTGCGGACAGTAAAGCACCACAATATCCACCTCCTTTAAGTGTTACCAGGGCCATGAGAACATCCTCCACAGGAGGGTGGTGCTGTGAATAAGGCCGAATATGGATGCCGATGGGCGGACGGTAAAGCACCGCAAAATCCACCCCCCCTTTAAGATAATCAGGGGCATGAGGTTCTTGAGGGTGTGAACATCTGGGTTTCGTCCGTGGGGGAGTGCTTAAGTCTGGGGGCCCGGGGTCTCACGGTGTGCGATGTTATGGAAGTGCGCATGTTAGGGAGAGATGCTGGAGCTGCTTAGTCTGTCATTTGGGGCTCTGTGAGGGGCTACAAATAGGTGATTTGCCTGGTCTATTTCATGATTTTCGAAATTCTCAAAAAAAACGGCTAAATGCCAACGGAGGAGGGGCTCAAAAAGAAGCGCAAGTCTTCGGCGCTTCCAGCGGAAGCCCCGGACACATTTTCACTCCCCTGTTGCATTTTACAACGCAGAGGGGAATCAGAGACCTCCCTTCCTCCGTCGAAAAAATGTATTCATCTTTTCCAAGCTACCATCTGCACGAAATCGGAAACCCGGTTTTTGAGAGCACTTAGAAAAAAAACGGCTGTTTCACATCATGGAGGAATGTGTCCGCTACATGAGTGCTTTGGCTCGGATACAATTGTTGCCTGGAGACCCCCAATCATGGTTCTTACCAAACTTCAAGTTTTTGAACTGGTCTCTGGAGGAATTCAAGGGGAGTTGTCAGGGAATTATGAGACACTATTTTGGGATACAATTTCTCCATTTTCACCCCTTCCTCTGGTTCTCCCAAAAGATAACTTGGAGTTTTTCTGACTCTGGAGGAATGTAAGGAGAGTTGTCAGGGGACTCTATCCGCCTTAAGAGACACTATTTTGGGATAACATTTCTCCATTTTCACCCCTTCCTCTGGTTCTCCCAAAATATAACAGAGTATTTTCCTGATTTCTCACTGATCGAATGAAAAACGCGGCCCGGCCTCGTGCCGTTGCTCTGGCGGTCGGTTCCTCCTAACTGCGGGTTCGACTCTGATGGCCAGGAGGGTGTGCTGCGTGGGGGAATTGACGGAAGCGCACCACCAGGAGTGGAGCCTGCGGCTTAATTTGACTGAATACGGGCAACCTCACCCAGCCCGGACACGGAAAGGATTGACAGACCATTTTCTAGCTGACACTGCTTCTAATAATACTTTATGATGTGCTGACAGCCAGTCCACCACACAATAAACAAAAACGGCTGTCTGATACCCTGGATGAAAGTACACTCTCTAAGTGCACTATGTCTCGGATATATCTGATGCCTGGAGACCCCCCCAGCCTGGTTCTTAACTTTAAGTCCAAACTGGTCTCTGGAGGAATGCAAGGGGAGTCGAAAGGGGACTCTTCTTGCTGTTTGTCTTGTCAAAATTGAGGGGTATGTTTGAGGGGAGGGCCCTGGCTGTTTCGGCAGCCTCCGCTCCTCTCTTCTCTCCCTCCCTGAGACCAGCTCGTGCTCCCGCTGTAAAAGGCAGGTGCGCGGGCACCCACTGCCACTCACTCTGAGCCTGGCTCCCGAGCAGCGCGTTCTCCCCGGCAGTCCGCCAGCAGATGAAAAACACCCACCTCTCCGCCTCTTCCGAGGGACGAGGGAACCGCGCGGGGGGGTCTGCTGGAGGCTCCTGCCGGGTGCTCCGTCCTGCGTTTCACCGGGACCCGGCTCCAACACTCGGAACTCTGACTCCAGCGCGGTGTGGCGGCCTCGCCCTGGCCGTCCACCGTGCGCCCTACGGGTACCTGACTCCTCTGCCTCCTCCGGGGGCAGGTGTGAGGGGTTCAATGCCTCCTCCCCCCGATGGAGCGCCCGGAGGTACTGTTGTCCCCACGTTACCATGTTGTCTGGAGGATAGGACCGAGAGATGACATACTCTCTACCCGGGTTACAAGTCACTATTTTCGGATACTTTCTTTGTTTTACCCCTGTTCTATCACTCTTTCCTCCTTTGACCATAAAACGTGTTTCCTGCTGGGGTACTGCCTGGTTCCGGGGCACCCCAAAACCCTCTCATGGTTGGGCCAACATGAATTGATGCATCGGACCCAATGTTGCCATCACCAGCCCCGCGTTGGTGCGGAGGTGGGAACATTTTGCCAGGTGGTAACCCAAGTCCTCCCTTGGTCCGTGTACCAGGCATTGAAGCATCAAACCCATTGTTGCAATCACCGGTTACGCTAACGCATATAAACGGAGAAACACAAAAGACTTTGAAAGAATTGAAATACAATTCTCTGTTTCAGTAAGGATGTCGTCCGAATGCCCGGTGTGCAGACTCTTCTATCTGGCGTTGAACAAGCACCTTAAGCACAAACATGCAGTGCGGAACTTGGAGGAAAGAGGCATCATTCTTTAAATGGCTCTTGGCAGAATAAATGTTCGGACCAAACCCTGTCCCATCACAGGGTGTTCGTATGCTGGGAATAAACTGGACCGTCATGTGACCCATGGCCACCCTGAGTTATCCCGAGATGAAGCACATCAGGTCCTGGCAAGGCTGAAGCATAGTGTGGCCCTGCAGTTGCTCCATGACCTCAGACAGACTAATCCCATCATTAGAATGGCTACATCATTGGATATAGACAATGAGGAGGAATACCCGGTGCACCCTCCACCCTTCTCCCCACATACTGAGTGTGACGAAGAGGACTGCAGGCAGGTGATGCTGGAAAATGTGGCATTGAGGGCTCAGAAGGATGCCCTCATTGATGAGGTGAAGACCCTGCGCTCCAGGCTGAAAAAGGGGCTAAAACCCAGGCAGCAGAGTGCCACTGATGCTGTGCTTGAGGAAGAGGAAGAATATATACGATTTAAGGGCCTGGCAATCTCAAGTACCTCCGGCATAAGCACAGCAGCCTCCGGTAGTCAGACCCCTCTCAAGACCCCGGTCAAGACTGTCATGCGGTCTCCAGCAGCCTCCGGTAGTCAGACCCCTCTCAAGACCCCGGTCAAGACTGTCATGCGGTCTCCAGCAGCCTCCGGTAGTCAGACCCCTCTCAAGACCCCGGTCAAGACTGTCATGCTGTCTCCAGCAGCCTCCGGTAGTCAGACCCCTCTCAAGACCCCGGTCAAGACTGTCATGCTGTCTCCAGCAGCCTCCCGTAGTCAGACCCCTCTCAAGACCCCGGTCAAGACTGTTATGCGGTCTCCAGCAGCCTCCGGTAGTCAGACCACTCTCAAGACCCCGGTCAAGACTGTCATGCGGTCCCCAGCAGCCTCCCGTAGTCAGACCCCTCTCAAGACTCCGGTCAAGACTGTCATGCGGTCCCCAGCAGCCTCCCGTAGTCAGACCCCTCTCAAGACCCCGGTCAAGACTGTCATGCGGTCCCCAGCAGCCTCCCGTAGTCAGACCCCTCTCAAGACCCCGGTCAAGACTGTCATGCGGTCCCCAGCAGCCTCCTGTAATGAGGACTGGCCCTCTCCTCACTGGTCCACTGGGAGGGGACGGGGAATACCATGCGTGAAATCACGTTGCCTCAAAGCATGGAGACGTACATTCAGACATAGGGATCATTGTGAGGGTGTCGCACCGACAGTAAAACGGAAAGAAAATTGTCTGTCCAATGTCAGCCGGATAAAGAACTTCCTCGTATTCATGGCCCATGGTGTTAACCGGCTGTCAGACTGGCTGTTCCTAAAAGACACGGAGAGGGTCCGTGGCTGGAGCGAGTATATTGTAAAGTCGGGCCGGGCAGTCACAACATCGCTGTTGTTCCTGAAGAATGTGAACCATTTCCTGAGGTACTTGTCTGAGTCAAAGCTCCGGGGGTGCAGGCTCACCCAGTCTGATATGACCCACATCATCAGAGAGGTGACAGCCAACATGAACGACTTGAAAAAGTCTGTCACGGTCCACCAGTTTAAGGTGAAGAGGAACAAGCTGGATCGTCTGCCGAGCCAGGCGGAGCTTCTCGCCGCCATGGCGGCCGCTGAGAAGCGCATCCCTGATCACCTTGACCTGATGGCTAGCAATCTGACCTCAATCACCCAGTACCTGCTATATGGCTATCTAACCCTCCATTGGAGCCTCCTGTATGGCCACCGTCCGGGTGTGTACGCAAACATGACCAACACTGAGGTCTTTGAGGCGGACATAAGGGGCACTGCTGAGGGCTACATCATCCACGTGCAGGATCACAAGACTGCCAAGACATCTGGCGAAGCACAGCTGGTGCTTACAGTAAAGGAGTTTAGCTGGGTCATGCGGTGGATGGGGATAAAAGAGGGCTTGTCGGGTCCTCAGAATGAATTCTTCCTTTTCACAACGGGGAAGCACGCCTCCAGGAACCTGAACGCTCACTTGAAGAGTGCTTGGGCTGATGCTGGGCTAGAAACAGCCGTCACCTTCACAATCCTGCGCACTGCCCTGGCTGACAATATCAAGCATCACCAAGATCCAGAAAGCAGGTCGATTCTCGCCAGGTTTATGTGTTACGACGTAAGCACTGCAGACCGGTTCTACGCGAATACGCCTGGAATAAAGGAGGGATTGAAGATCCGCTCCATGTTCAGGGCGGCAGCTGCAGCAGCATCATCATCGGAAGGAGTTCTACCGCCGTCAGATACCTCCGAAGAGGGCTCAGGGGCGGAGAGCAGCGATACCTCTTCTTCAGGGCCGGTTGATACTCCTGATGAGGGGGTAGGGGCCGTGGACTCAGCCTGTTTCCCTCGGTGCACCGTACAAGTTAGACGGCTAATATGGCCCCCCGGCCCCCGCTAATCATGTTTTAATTATGTTATTATTATGTTTATTATGTTTATTATGCATATTGTGTATACTGTTTTTGTAAAAATAATGTGATAATTAAATAAATAAATAAACATTTTAATAACGTTTAAGGTTCCCAGGGGTTGATACAGTGCCAGGTATCAGACTATTTAAACAGAGTTTACCCAGGATTCAGACACCTTCCCTGGCTTGTAAAATGTGGTGATGCGCCCTGGAGGTATCATACTATTTTAAACAACTGTTCCCGCCTTTCAAACACTTATTCCTGGGTTTTAGCCTGTCATTTGCAAGATATGATTTAACATTGAAGCTCTCCTGTAAATTGACACATTCTGTCCTTCTCCAGGAGAGCTTCAATGTTAAATGATATCTTGCAAAATGACAGGCTAAAAATCTCTTCCAAACGTTTAAAAACACTTCCCCCGACAATTTAAACATTATTTCTGGCTTGTAAAGTGCAGTGGTAGTATCAGACTATTTAAAGGGTTACCAGGGCGATGAGAACATCCTCCACAGGAGGGTGGGTGCTGCTGTGAATAAGGCCGAATATGGATGCTGCTGGGCGGACTATAAAGCACCGCAAACTCCACCCCCCCTTTAAGGTTCCCAGGGGCACGAGGTTCTTGAGGGTGTGATCATCTGGGTTTAGTCCGTGGGGGAGTGCTTAAGTTCGGGGGCCCGGGGACCCAAGGTGCGCGAGGTTATGGAAGTACGCATGTCAGGGAGCAGATGCTGGAGGTCTGTAGTCCGTCATTTGGGGCTCTTGCAGCGGCCACAGAGAGGTGCTTTCCCCGGTGTATTTCATGGAAGTCTGACATAGCCTGTGTCCTGTGAAATAGCCTGTTTGCCCATGTCAAATCTTGCTACTAATTGATAACTTTTAATAGGAATGTCTGTTTGACATATGTTCAGAATGTGCTATTTTTCAGAAATAGCACATTCTGAATGACCAGTGTACACATCGTTGTGTACCTCTGTGTCACAGCCCGCTGCTGCTCTCCCTCCCTGTATTCACATAACTTTTACCCAGCTTTCACACACTTATTGCTGGGTAAGAAAGCCATGTGCATCACCCTGGATCTCTGCCTGTGTGCGTGGGACCCTGCTTACAGCAGTAACTCTGCTGTACATTTCATGAGTCAAATGTGGATGAAATGGACAGATTTCAAGCTTCTTTCCTGGGTTGCATAGTGCTGTGAAGCAGCCTGTCCTCTGGGTGGGAGAGCGAGGTGCTGGAAGGAGCTCTCTGGGTCACAGCCTGCTGCTGCTGCTCCTCTCTCCCCCCTGTATTCACATAACTTTTACCCAGCTTTCACACACTTATTCCTGGGTAAGAAAGCCATGTGCATGACCCTGGATCTCTGCCTGTGAGTGTGGGACCCTGCTTACAGTCCGTCGTTTGGGGCTCTGTCACTTTGGGTAACCGCACCACTGTCAGACGTCTCCTGAGAATGGACGTCCATTCTCTCTAAATAGGGTTAGGGTTAGGTATGTGTTGGTTATGGTTAGGGTTAGGATAAGTCTCCAGGAAATGCATGTAAGTCAATGTAATGTCCCCTGAAGTGATGTATACATGGTATGTGTGTACCTGCAGTGTGTGTGTGTGTGTGTGTGTGTGTATGTCTGTGTGTGTGTACCTGCAGTGTTTGTCTGTGTGAGTGTGTACCTGCAGTGTTTGTGTGTGATGTACTTGTCCTGGTCCAGATGTTGGTCGGAGGGGAAATCTGATTGGAGGAATCTCTCCGTCACCATGGTGAACTTTTCCACACACACCAGACAACCTGCAACACACACACACACACACACACACACACACACACACACTAGGGATGTGCATCTCCATCACTGAGGACGATGCGATACGCATTTCGATACGTTGCCAACGATACGATACATTAACGATCAGGGATGTAACGATACCAAAAACTCACGGTACGATATTTATCGCGATATTGAAAAATAAAGGGAAAAAATGTGAATTTTTTTTTTTTACTTGAATTTTTTTTCTTTATTAAATAACACATCTGCTTTGTACAGCATTTTAGTAGATAGTAGTATTTTTTAAAGTATCAACAATATAATAATCAGACCCTGCAATAGAATAAATCAAGCTTCCCTTTAGTTTTTCAAGTAACTCTCTAACTCACTCACTCAGCATCATGAGCATGTCCACATTTCCAGGTAGAAGCTGGGATGTTTGGGCGTTTGCAATATGGAGAAAACTTTCTTGCTTGGTACTGATGTTGCTGGGACAGAGAGACATGCTTTGGCCATGGGTGACAGCAGTGGGTCAAACTGTGCATTGTCTCTCCACCACTTCAAAAACAATACAGTTGTTGCCAAGAAGGTGAGGCTTATTGACAGGGCGAGATCAGTGTTTCCGCCAGACCTGGGGCCTCATGTATAATGCCGTGCGTAGGATTCACGTGGGAAGGTTGCTTACGTAGTAGAAATCCAAAAAATAGGTCCATAACTTTTCCGACATTTTCCGATTCACCAAAACATTGCGCACCGACGAGGAAAGTGCGTACAGCACTTCCTACGCCGGTTTCCCTTTATAAATCACAACCGACTCGAAATGCGGTGCAGCTTTTGCGGGCTTCACGTAACGCCCATTCATCCATCCATTCATTCATTCATTCTGACTGACTGAATGAAGGAGATCGCAGGAAATGAGGACAGAAAGCTAAAAAGACGTCTCACACCGTGTCAGATTGTGGTTATTGTGGGAGGTGGAGATAAATCATATTGTTTGGTGGATGCAGTTTGAACCAGAGGAGCAGCATGGAGGTCGGATCGTCACCAAAATAAATAAATAAGTGGTCCGAAAAAAGTTAATGACAAAAAGAATACACATAGCCTTCCTCAGGCAGTGTGTTTGTACCGGGGACAGGAGACCCCCCCCTGATGAGAGACTGAGAAGTGATCGGGGAATCCCTCCGGAGTGGAGTCATGACGACTGGATCTGAATTATGTTTTTGTATTTGGTGGTTTGTGTCCCAGCTGTCGATCAGCTGTGCGCAGCGTCTCCACTGCAGCCTGTGCGTCCACCCCGAGAGCAGGGGGGGGGGCCTCCCTTATAGTTACTGTCTTTTTACGTTAGTGAGCCGGATCATTTGGCTCGGCTCTCTTAAAGCGCCGGCTGTTTCGGCTCCCAAGCAGCTCTTCATGTTACCACAGTTTACCACGGAGCCTCAGTTTCGCCGCTGCGAGGCTCTGGTGCTCACCTTCGATGTCGGGGAAACGATCTTCAATACTCCGAAAAGAATCCCACCATCCACATCCCTATTAACGATACTTTTGAAACACCAGGCGATACGATTCACCCCTGTTGCGATACAGTTCGATACGATGCGATTCAACACGATGCAAAATAATGATACTTCAATTTGGTACGACAGAGGATTTTAGTTTTATTCCTCGTATGCAGCAAATCATACATTAACAAAAAAGGGCTTTACATATTGGGTTCTCTCTGCTAGTGCTGCACAGAGTATAGGCTACAGTTCAATGTTATAACACCTGACAGTTAAACTATTTAAGGATGCATTGCTCACGATTAACAATGTGCAAATAGCAACTACCATAGTGCAATGCCCATACAGCTGCCAGCCTGATGTGCTGAACACTCACTCAGAGGCTGACTCACCAGAGAGCAGAAAGCATTGGTTTCTATAGGAACAATAAATAATATAACCTTTCACAAACAGCTCTTTCATAACTGCTTACAGTGAGGAAGACATTTAAACTGTGATTGGCCGTCACAGGCTGTTGTAAACTAAACACCTCCCTCTCTGACAGAACACCTCACTGAGTGATTTAACTCATCTGTCTAACTTTCAGGTTTCTCTTTTCAGCCGCAGACCCCATGTCGCCTCTTTATGGGCGTCGCTAAGTTCCTCGTACTACTTGTGTACTTGCGAATCGGTGAATCTTAACATCCCTAAAACACACACATACAAACATTATAAAAGGTCAGTGGTCACCTTTTATAATGTGTGTGTGTGTGTGCTCTGTCAAAGTTGGTCATTGTCATTGCAGAATTCTTCCACATTATGTTTACATTGAGATATGCACTGTTTGTGTGTGTGTGTATGTGTGTACCTATCCAGGCGGTGTTGAAGGCCACACTCTGACCCCCTCCCTCGCTGGTTTCCGTGACGACGCAGGCCACGGTCCCTGTCCCGTCTCTGAGCTGCAGCGCCTGTCCCGCCGGAGACGGCAACTCCAGCACCCCGACCACCAGGGGGCGTCTGTACACACGTTACATTAATATCATCACCAGGGGGTGTCTGTACACACGTTACATTAATATCACCACCAGGGGGCGTCTGTACACACGTTACATTAATATCACCACCAGGGGGTGTCTGTACACACGTTACATTAATATCACCACCAGGGGGCGTCTGTACACACGTTACATTAACATCACCCACCAGGGGCGTCTGTACACACGTTACATTAATATCACCACCAGGGGGCGTCTGTACACACGTTACATTAATATCACCACCAGGGGGGCGTCTGTACACACGTTACATTAATATCACCACCAGGGGGCGTCTGTACACACGTTACATTAATATCACCACCAGGGGGCGTCTGTACACACGTTACATTAATATCACCACCAGGGGGCGTCTGTACACACGTTACATTAATATCACCACCAGGGGGCGTCTGTACACACGTTACATTAACATCACCACCAGGGGGCGTCTGTACACACTTTACATTAATATCACCACCAGGGGGCGTCTGTACACACGTTACATTAATATCACCACCAGGGGGGTACCTGGATGTGTCTCTAGGGGGGTCAGAGGTCAGCGTCCTGCAGGACCAGGACAGAGCTGAGTTGATCTGAGACGAGGACAGACCTCCACCAGGGGGCAGCAGAGAGCGCAGAGACACTGAGGACCAGCTGTCTGTCTGAAGACCTTCAATCAGAGCAGAGACACTGAACACCTGAGGGACAGCTGGGTCCGCCCTGTACTGTGGGGACAGACAGGTGAGTCAGAGGACAGGAGTGTCAGAAGACAGGTGTGTGTACCTGAGTCAGAGGACAGGTGTGTCAGAGGACAGGTGTGTGTACCTGAGAGGTGTGTGTACCTGAGACAGAGGACAGGTGAGTGTACCTGAGTCAGAGGACAGGTGTGTGTACCTGAGTCAGAGGACAGGTGTGTCAGAGGACAGGTGTGTGTACCTGAGAGGTGTGTGTACCTGAGACAGAGGACAGGTGAGTGTACCTGAGTCAGAGGACAGGTGTGTGTACCTGACTCAGAGGACAGGTGTGTCAGAGGACAGGTGTGTGTACCTGAGAGGTGTGTGTACCTGAGACAGAGGACAGGTGAGTGTACCTGAGTCAGAGGACAGGTGTGTGTACCTGACTCAGAGGACAGGTGTGTCAGAGGACAGGTGTGTGTACCTGAGAGGTGTGTGTACCTGAGACAGAGGACAGGTGAGTGTACCTGACTCAGAGAACAGGTGTGTGTACCTGACTCAGAGGACAGGTGTGTCAGAGGACAGGTGTGTGTACCTGAAACAGAGGACAGGAGTGTGTACCTGGACAGGTGTGTGTACCTGACTTAGAGGACAGGTGTGTCAGAGGACAGGTGTGTGTACCTGAAACAGAGGACAGGAGTGTGTACCTGGACAGGTGTGTGTACCTGACTTAGAGGACAGGTGTGTCAGAGGACAGGTGTGTGTACCTGAAACAGAGGACAGGAGTGTGTACCTGGACAGGTGTGTGTACCTGAGACAGAGGACAGGTGAGTGTACCTGACTCAGAGAACAGGTGTGTGTACCTGACTCAGAGGACAGGTGTGTCAGAGGACAGGTGTGTGTACCTGAAACAGAGGACAGGAGTGTGTACCTGGACAGGTGTGTGTACCTGACTTAGAGGACAGGTGTGTCAGAGGACAGGTGTGTGTACCTGAAACAGAGGACAGGAGTGTGTACCTGGACAGGTGTGTGTACCTGAGTCAGAGGACAGGAGTGGGGCTCGTCCAGCATCTCGCAATAAATGTCTCTCCTCTGTCCTTCTTGTCCTCTCCACACACACTCCATCAGCTTCCAGGACAGAACACACACACACTGCTTCAACACACCTGGGACCAGGCTGGGGGGACAGATGGACAGCCAGGTGCACAGACAGATGGACAGCCAGGTGGACAGACAGACAGGTGGACAGATAGACAGGTGGACAGACAGACAGGTGGACAGACAGGTGGACAGACAGGTGGACAGACAGACAGACAGGTGGAGAGACAGGTGGACAGACAGGTGCACAGACAGGTGGACAGACAGGTGGACAGACAGACATACAGGTGGAGAGACAGGTGGACAGACAGACAGGTGGACAGACAGACAGGTGGAGAGACAGACAGGTGGACAGACAGACAGACAGGTGGAGAGACAGGTGGACAGACAGACAGGTGGACAGACAGACAGGTGGACAGACAGGTGGACAGACAGACAGGTGCACAGACAGGTAGACAGACAGGTGGACAGACAGACAGGTGGACAGACAGACAGGTGGACAGACAGGTGGACAGACAGGTGGACAGACAGGTGGACAGACAGACAGACAGGTGGAGAGACAGGTGGACAGACAGGTGCACAGACAGGTGGACAGACAGGTGGACAGACAGACAGACAGGTGGAGAGACAGGTGGACAGACAGGTGCACAGACAGGTGGACAGACAGGTGGACAGACAGACATACAGGTGGAGAGACAGGTGGACAGACAGACAGACAGGTGGAGAGACAGGTGGACAGACAGACAGGTGGACAGACAGGTGGAGAGACAGGTGGACAGACAGACAGGTGGACAGACAGGTGGACAGACAGACAGACAGGTGGAGAGACAGGTGGACAGACAGACAGGTGGACAGACAGGTGGACAGACAGACAGGTGCACAGACAGGTAGACAGACAGGTGCACAGACAGACAGGTGGACAGACAGGTGCACAGACAGGTGGACAGACAAACATTATTATTTGTCACATTTCGGAGGTCCTTGAACACATCATGTGAGTGTGTATATTGAGTGTGTGAGTCTCACCTGTGCTGCAGCTTTGAACTCAGGTGAGCGCTCCACAGGTATTCGGAAACGCCCCTTCCCCCCTGCAGCAGTAACCGTGGCAACGTTCCATCCCCCGGGCAGGTGGAGGTGTGCAGTAACCGTGGTAGCAACCCCCCCCGCCCAACCCCCGCTGAAGGACGTCACCCTGACGCTGGAGCGCAGGCAGGTACAAAGCATGCTGGGAAGGAAGTCGGGACAGGGCCGGTACAGGAAGTGGACGTGATGGAGCTGCAGGGAGACAGGTAAATTCATACCTGCCCTTTCACAATAAAAGCCCCTCACAGGTACATTCATATCTGCCCTTTCACAATAAAAGCCCCTCACAGGTACATTCACATCTGCCCTTTCACAATAAAAGCCCCTCACAGGTACATTCACATCTGCCCTTTCACAATAAAAGCCCCTCACAGGTACATTCACATCTGCCCTTTCACAATAAAAGCCCCTCACAGGTACATTCAAATCTGCCCTTTCACAATAAAAGCCCCTCACAGGTACATTCATATCTGCCCTTTCACAATAAAAGCCCCTCACAGGTACATTCATATCTGCCCTTTCACAATAAAAGCCCCTCACAGGTACATTCAAATCTGCCCTTTCACAATAAAAGCCCCTCACAGGTACATTCACATCTGCCCTTTCACAATAAAAGCCCCTCACAGGTACATTCAAATCTGCCCTTTCACAATAAAAGCCCCTCACAGGTACATTCATATCTGCCCTTTCACAATAAAAGCCCCTCACAGTACATTCATATCTGCCCTTTCACAATAAAAGCCCCTCACAGGTACATTCAAATCTGCCCTTTCACAATAAAAGCCCCTCACAGGTACATTCATATCTGCCCTTTCACAATAAAAGCCCCTCACAGGAGCAGCTGATCCAGGCTTTTATTGTGAAATATGTCTCACCTCCAAAGTGTCTCCAATTCTCAGCTTCCTCCTCAGAGCCGGCTGATAGGCCAGGCACAGCCCCACCCTCCTGTCCATCACGTACAGCCCCGCCCCCTCGCTCACCACCTCAGTCACGGTGCCCTGTCAGAGGAGAGGGGTGGGGCTTACAACAGGTAACAGCTTATCAGAGGAGAGGGGTGGGGCTTACAACAGGTAACAGCTTATCAGAGGAGAGGGGTGGGGCTTACAACAGGTAACAGTTTATCAGAGGAGAGGGGTGGGGCTTAAAACAGGTAACAGCTTATCAGAGGAGAGGGGTGGGGCTTAAAACAGGTAACAGCTTATCAGAGGAGAGGGGCGGGGCTTACATATGGTAATCAGAGGAGAGGGGTGTGGCTTACACACGGTAACAGCTTATCAGAGGAGAGGGGTGGGGCTTACAACAGGTAACAGCTTATCAGAGGAGAGGGGTGGGGCTTAAAACAGGTAACAGCTTATCAGAGGAGAGGGGTGGGGCTTAAAACAGGTAACAGCTTATCAGAGGAGGGGTGGGGCTTACAACAGGTAACAGCTTATCAGAGGAGAGGGGTGGGGCTTACAACAGGTAACAGCTTATCAGAGGAGAGGGGTGGGGCTTACATATGGTAATCAGAGGAGAGGGGTGGGGCTTACACACGGTAACAGCTTATCAGAGGAGAGGGGTGGGGCTTACACGCAGGAAACAGCTTATCAGAGGAGAGGGGCGGGACTTACACACAGGTGATTAGAGGAGAGGGGTGGGGCTTACACACAGGAAACAGCTTATCAGAGGAGAGGGGCGGGGCTTACACACAGGTAATCAGAGGAGAGGGGTGGGGCTTACACACCGGAAACAGCTTATCAGTAGAGAGGGGCGGGGCTTACACACAGGTAAGAAGTTTACCTGGTAACTGATGACTCGAGACTTCTTCATCCTGGCAGCCGATTGGCCGGTGTCTCTCTCGGGCTCCGCCTCCTCGCAGTCCTCGACCTGTGACATCACCGGCGGGGGGGCCGTGGCGGCAGGTGTGTATGTGTGTGCAGCGGGGTGTGTGTAGTCGGTGTGCATTTCAGAGCGCTCGGTCACACACAGGATGTT